AAGTTTTTGTACTGGGGAGATGAAAAATTTCCTAGACAAATTCTGATTAAAGGTGCACTCTCGGGCCCGAGGCATCTTAAAGCGACATGTCTTCGGCGTGATAATTGAGGATGTTTTAGCACGGTGTCTTGTGTGTGCGTAAACACAAATAGCAGAGGGCCCACTGAGGTTATCACCGGTGTGCGGTCCTCCCCCCAAAAAAAAGCACACTCGACCCCCCGGCCCCGGAGGCGAACAAACAAACAAAGCATTAAAAATGCACAAGGCTTATTCATAAAATGGATTGATTTGGCCTCTTTTATTGCTACCAAAGGGGAGATTCCGACGCTTTTGGTGGTTTTATGACTCATTAGTATTTCCTGAGCGGTAAACAAACGCGTCTGCTTCTGCAAAGAACGCGAACACACACAAGGCATGCCGTTTGGTGATTTTGACTGCATGGAGATGTTTTTACCCTTGGTGGAGGTGAAAGGGTTACGTGCTTGTTTCGTGTGTCGTTATTTGTTTGTTCTCAGCATTACTCCCAAAATTATGAAATGTATTTTCACCGCATGAGCAAATATCCAAATCCCGACAGCAACAATTTGCGACATTTTAGCCCAAAAAATGAAGACACAGGGTGCAGATTTAGTTTTGTTGGTCTTGTTGGCACAACGCTTTTATTTTTTGTTTTAGTTGATTTACTAATGATGGAACTAACTCCACCCCAGGAGGCAAATGGTTTCCATTTAAACTCTTTACGTCTTTCTCCATGGACCAGGAAGAAGTGTCCTGGCTAGCTAACGTATCGACAAATTGTTTTGAGGGATTTGTTTTCGGTTTTTCAAAATTGGAGTCATAATGGAACAGCCACAGAATACAAAGTCCTTTCCAAATGATCCTAAAGTTATTCTCGATGCACAAGAGTGTAGCCTGCTACTAACATACATGCAAACAAAAATGGCGAATAACGCTTTTTTTTCCATTTATGTACTTATTATAAATCTTCACCTCAGATTCAAAGTGACCCCTTGCCAGGGCAAGAATTAAATTGCAGTCCCTTCTCTTTTGCACTCACGTTATTCTCCATGAATCAAAAATTGGCCTCGTAGCTAACATGGACAGGCCAAGAGATAATAATAATATACGGTATATATTTTTTTGCCATTTCACTCCTGATGAAAGTCTTACACTGAGTTCCAAAGACAAATTGTATATTCCAGTCATCTGGCATCATAATCCGTTTCCCACATTTTTTGTTTAATTGTGCATTTGTCAATACTTCAATGAAGGAAAATGCAGTCCAAACACTCTTTAAAGTCTTCAAGGTCAATAAAATAATCAAAGAGATCCACTCCTGATGAAAGTCTACACTGGGTTCCAAAGACAAATTGTATAGTCCAGTCATCAGGCATCATAATCCGTTTCCCACATTTTTTGTTTAATTGTGCATTTGTCAATACTTCAATGAAGGAAAATGCAGTCCAAACACTCTTTAAAGTCTTCAAGGTCAATAAAATAATTTGAAATTGAGTACCGATACAATCTGTAAAAATAAAAAACCTTTTGATTGAGTCAGGCTTGGGCTAAAAGTCAGTCCTCAAATAGGCCACGCTCAGCTTTTTAGCCAATATTTCAATCAAGTAAAATGCAGTCCTAACACTCTTTAAAGTCTTCAAGGTCAATAAAATAATTTGAAATTGAGTACTGGTACAATCTGTAAAAATAAGAATTTCTGAAAAAAGAAAAAAAACCTTTTGATTGAGTCAGGCTTGAGCTAAAAGTCAAATTATGTCATGATTTAACAAGATTAAAGTAAGATGTCTGTTAACAGGACAGAGATGATGCTCATGTGTCAATAAATCATCCTCGGCATCAACTGCCATATACTTGCCAAACTTTTGACAATGGCAGCTTAATGCTGTTTCAATTCATTGTAGTGAAAAGGGGAACATTGAACTACCTACAAGATCGAAAAGTGTTTTGTTCACTTCTATTGAGGGCGATTGTTTTGTTTTTTTTCTTTTTCCCTGAAAGCATTAGATTGTCTCTAAAGAGAAGCGATGATCTTGACCCAGTACGGTGGCCCAGATGGTGAACAGCGCTGGCCCGACGGCAGGCACACTAAATGTGTGTGTGTGTGTGTGTGTGTGTGTGTGTGTGTGTGTGTGTGTGTGTGTACAAGAGGAAGAGAAGAAAGAAAGAGATTTATAGTCTCATCTGAGCCCTTGTACCTTGTATTGTCCTTTCAGCATCTGTTCTTCCGCTGCTGCGGTCGCTCTCCATCTCAGGGGTCAGAGCGTCTGTGGCAGAAAAGAGATCAACGCCGTTAAACATCCTCTCGGCGTCCGTCCGGCGCAATGTCAGCAGTGCCGGCGCATCGTTCACTCGGAACGAGCAGTAGCGCCTTGGAGCCTCGCGGCAAACGTGAGATATACTTTTGCTATAATAATCTGTTGCTTGGAGTCACTCGACCTGAAAACGGCAGCTTCAAAACCATTCACAATAAAGCCCAAAACAGTCAACTTAATAGACGCCGTGCTTCAGTTAGTCAGCAGGCGCGGGCATCCACTTCAGACAAATAAACACCTCGTTCAAATCGACACCTCTATCTAACCGAATGATAAAAAACAAGTTCCCTGAGCAGTAGTACTTTCGGTATTTGAAGATGGGTTATTTGATGACACTTGGCATTCTCTGATGTGGTTGCTTCACAATGTGGAGTGCATCCGTGTTTTTGTTCCGCAGACTTATTTGTTTCTCCTGTTGTCGCGTGTCTCCATTGTATTCTTTTTCTTGCTTTAAAAGTACAAAGTGTAAAATGCACTCGCAATCTAGTCGTGAAATAATAGAATGCAACGCCCTACGTTCGAAGTGCGTGCATTTTGCACCAATTTCTCAGCAGAGGTCCAAGCAAAAAGTCATAAACAACTTCTACTACTCCCTCAAGTGACAAAGTAAGTGCATTGTATATGTTATACATTCTGCAGTCATTGATCCAGTAAATTTGTGATTGGGTGATCTGTCTCTTTCAGGTCTCCATTGCAGAAGGATGGCAGCGAACCATGTAATATAATTCGCGATAACTAGACCTACGATTATATAAAAATAAATTACGTTGATTTCCATTGAGCATATGTTTTTGCATATTATTGAAATTAATAGCGGCTTTTTAAAATGAATGCAGATTGAGGTGGACGTGCTCACCAGTCGACCACCGTGCCGCGCCCGTAATGTACCACAAACATTGTTAATTAGTTTTAAAAATGCATTTCTTAAAATAATAAGACGGTTGATATCTCCTCCCACCATACTGTATCGTATACTACTTCTATAACAGGTCTTACACGACTGACTGATCAGTCAACGACACGTCTCTCATACTGTGTTATAGGTGCGGCATAGGTGCCAACATAACAGTTCTCGATTGTTCACTTGTACAAACCTTATACAGAAAAAACACACACAATGTTGAGGCTACGTGTCGTGAGAATCCTTGAACCAAATCTCTTGTACAGTTTCAGGTAATTGCTAGCAGAGCTAGCTTGTAGCTAAAATGTACAAAGCCGTGCTGAGAGGTGATTTCAGAAATGCACTCCAAGTGCGCACTGCTCCAATCCAAGGGTTCAGAAAGTCAGAGCGTTGTTGAAATGTGACTTTGGTTATTCAGAGTCTCTCAAAAAATGGATGCCAGTGCGAGCTCTAGGTACTCCAACTGGAGAAATGGCGTGCTCAGTGTATCAGGCAGTACAGATGGAAATGTTACGGAAACATGCTGCCTCTCAGAACATACACACTCAGAGTGGACTTTGGGAGTCGGACTGAATTTCCGAAAGCACCCGAGATAACGCACTACATCCCACAAACCTTAAAGGCAATTTATGGGTAGGATATGCCAAATAGCTACTAGCGTTAGCCTCATCCTTTTTTTTGCACTGCTAGTTCATGCAACTGCTACAAAGGTGAACACTCCATTCAACGAAATTGCCTTGCTCTAGCAAAAATATTGAAATAAGATTAATCGTGAGAAAAAATACCCCATATTTAACATAGGTGAGGAGTTTTGCTTTTGGAGGCAACTACGCATGTTAGCTTCTGCGTGGCAAACATTTAGCTTGCATTTATTGTGGATGTTAGGTAGACATTGGAAACAGGTGGGTTAAAAAAAAAATGCAGAAATATCCCCCAAAAAATGTCAAGGAAAAGAAATACTGTACAGAATAAAATAAAAAGAAATCAATTAAAATAACTTAGGTGATTTAAAAATAAACAATAGACATTCGAAAAAGAAGATTTCACTTACAGCTTGGGTGAAAATAAAAACAGAATTTTGGAATATATGATTGTTTTCAGTCACTGACCATTGAGTGAGCGCATGCTGTCGGCGGGTGACGGCTGCTTGAGGGTCTGCTCCACCTGCTCTCTCCTCTTGGATTCGTACTCCAGAGCTTCTTGCAGTTTCCTCTTGGCCTTCTTCTCCTTCTTCAGACGCTTCTGGATGATCGCTGAGCGGGGATCAACAGACATTAAATACACTCTTGGATGTATTGAACAATATGAATGAAATCCCTCACTCTTTGTTTGTCTGTTATCTGAAAACATCTTTGTGTAAATATTAAATCAAGTGAAAGGCATATTCTAGTAATGTGTATTTGAATGCACGCATGCATGCAGAGACGGATTCGGTTACCTCTGTTCTTCTGCTCCATGGCCAGCTGCTTTTCCAGAGTTTCCCGGAGTTCTCGCTCTCGGAAAAGCTCCATCTTCAGCTCCGTCTTCTCCAGCTGAACCTGCTTCTCTTGAGCCCGCGCATTGTCGATGGCCACCTTCAGCAGGCCCTGCAAACACACACATTATTGATGACAAGTCATACTTGGATGCTTTTTCTCTAATTATCATCATATTATACACTAATAATAACCAAGTGGAGACTGACACCCGCCGCAGCACAGCGGAGGCCGTGGAATATAATACTGCAGGATCCATAGCTAATGCAAAGACCAATGACAAATGTGATCATCTACTGATAGACAAGAAATGGTTTGCGTCACCCACAAAGTATTTTGTTTGCACACTTGGAACCCCACCTGGCCCAGTATTAGAAATTCTACCTGGAAGCAGGACGGCAGCTAAAATAATAACTGGGAGCAGAATAGTGTTTGAAACAGTTCCAGTTACCAGACAAGCGTTCCTGGTACCACAACCAAATAATCTGGTAAATGGAATAGTACCTACTCCCATAATAGCGCCAGAAATGTATCTGAAATGGTACACAGTTCCAGGAATCATACTAGTTCCCAGAACAGTCCTCAGTACCAGAAATACTACATTGTAGTTGTATAGTACCAAGTAGCAGAAATAGTAGCTAGTCCCAGTTTAGTCTGACGAAGGTTCTGTAAACTGTGTACCTATAGCTGCGTTTGGTATTGTTTGGGTGGAGAAGTGTCTATCACACTTCAATAATGTGTTTGCAATTCAATTTGTGACACAATGAGTTCATTAATCTCGATGATAGGATATATATATATATATATATATATATATATATACATACACACAGTATATATACATTATATAGTACATAAAAAAGCCTACCAACTAGCCAAAATGAAGTTGTTTTTTTTAACCCAAAAGTGCAGACTTTGCAGTTTAAAAAATTCTACTACAGTGCTATGTCAGTTGGAATTGGATTATCTGTTCAGCATTATCCACGATCCAAATTATGACAAGCGCTACAGAATATGGATGCATTGACTGAATGGATGGATGGATATCATGACATTTGGTTGACAAATTGTACCTGTATGTTGGTGAGGAGAGTCTCTATTGACGACAGGCCATCTGGGAAGAGGAAGGGCGAGGGGAAGCCAGGAGGCAGAGTTGGTCCAGCCAGAGACAACCGCTCATAGCTGTCCCTCGCTGTTGGCGTGCACATCAGGTTATCATCTGCAAACAAAGTCACAACAGATTAAATATTCATTCATCCATGCATCCATTTTCAGGACCACTTTATCCTCACCAGTAAAAAAAGCAACAAAAACAAAAAAGAGCAGAACCAATTAAGAGGAAAGCCCTTGAGGTGCTCAGATTATGTATGATCTTCGAGGTTCCACAGTCCACTGTCCTAACAGAAGTCTCTTCTATTGTCACCTGGACTCTACTAAATACACAGCAGTGGCCCCTGTGAGAATCCTTTGTATTGCTTTTCCTCAGCATTCCAGAGTGGGGGCTAAACACTATCAAGACGGACATAAATCCCAGTTTCCTCCATATAAGAGATGTCATGTGGACAACAAAATCAGGCCCACTCGCCTCGACCCCCGAGAGGCTCGCGTTTCCTTTGTGCTCGCACGCATGCGACTGTCTGTCAAATCGGTAATGACATCATGCTCCTCTCATCGCGAAACGCGGGGGCTAGAACCCCCGCCATCTGCAATCCAGCCTCGGAGGAGGACGGAGAGGATGGGAGGCAAAGACAGCGCACACATCGGATGTGTTACTTTTGTCCGCCTTGGAAGCAGACGATTCATTGTCAAGGCATCTCCACAGGAGTGAAGTCACTGTTTAAGAGCTACAGTAAATCATTTCAAGTGAGAGGGATTCATGATAAGGTTTGACAGTGCATTATTATCATTCCTTTTTAAACTTTTTTTTCTATGTGCGTTGTTTGCATCGGGAATTCATTTCAACACTGTTGTTGAAATGAGCTCACTAATCACAAGAGGAATAATAAGTATGATTTTAGAATGGATCCAGAATATTTTTTGTTGTTTTTTTAGCAGGGTTTTTGCAAAAACATGATTGAATGATCAGGTTTGTTTTTTTTTTTTTCCATATTTATTTTCCGCAAATCCAGTCTAATCTTCAGTCGGAAATGGGACAAAAGTTTTTTTCAGTTAAATTAAACTATCCTTGCATATTTTGTATAACATGCCAATGTAAAACATGATCATAATCAATATTATTATCATTCATTATATGTATGTACACTGAAAAAAATGGGATGTTGATTTAAGAAAAAATTGTCAAGTTGGGTATACACAACAGAATCATCTGACTTTTGATATTTTTGAGTAGATGTTGAGTTGAATTTGGATCCAGATGATTTTATTTAATGCAACTCATTGATTAAATAAAATATTTTTTTTTCAGTGGAATATTTTTGTTTTGTTTGCATTTCATTGGCGGATTGCATAAAATAAAGGCATTTTAATGTATATTTTTTAAATACATTTTTATTTTATAAGAAGGATAATGACGCAACAAAATGGCTTTAATGCTGTTTGAATAATGTCCATTAATTTTAAAGGGTTCTCAACAGAAAGTGTTAATGGCTATTTATTGAACGTGAAGAGACAATGTTGTTCATGCTGTCATTTTATATTTTTATTTGTTTGTGCTTTTATTTTTTTCATACATTTATGAATAATGATCATACTTTAAATACAAATATGTAAAAAAGTATATATTTGTGATAGGCATTTTTTTTTCGAGATTATTAAAAATAATTGGCTGTTAAGAATTTTGGGCAATTGGTGCCGAATTGATCATTGATTGTGTCTCAAAGCAGAATGGCAGTAATATTCTGCAACCAGCAGAGGTGCTGTTGATTCAGTCTCAATGAGTTCAAGGATTGTCGATTGGAGTTGATCCAAATTAAGATCCTTGAGCCTTGGTCTGCGCTCTCAGAGTGCCACTCTCGATTGGAATGTGGACTTCAGTTTTCGTTTGTGATTGTGTGGCAACAGAGGAACGGTGTACAAACAGCACCCGCCTTCCCTCCCTCCCTTTCCTCCTTTCACCACCCACCCATCAACATTCAAGCGATGCCAGCCAAGAGCCGGGAACAGCTGGTGCTACATTAATTAGTTTAAAGTATTTATTTCGCCCATCCTCAGAGCAGATTGAGCAAAAACATTGGAGATTATTTCGAGCATCTGCAAAATGCCCTGGAAACATGTCGGGCGCCAAAAAATGGAGCGCTAGGATTCAGAGTTTAGGCTTGTAATTTGGATTTGGAGTCCACCTTTCCTGCGGAGAAGGCGGTGAAGGTCCGTGGAGGAAACATACAACCTTTCTGCTTTTATTGAAGGGGAAGAAGTTCACTCTGTGTGGTTAATTAGAATGGGTGTTTGCCCGAATTGATTAAAATGCGTTCATAATGTGACTTTGTAGAAATAATGAAGCTCCCACTTTTCAATAGAATTTTGCTTTATCTTGCTTAAGCGATCATAAGGTGACTCCATTTTGCTTATCAAAACACATTATGCAATCTTCCAGAAGATGAATACTTCCCAAAATAATTATCAACAGATTCTAAAAACAAACATTTACAAACTGGGTGCTACAGCGTTAGCATGTGCACCAGCGAAAAAAAAACAAAACGAAAACAATTTTTGACATACCAGGACAGGGAAAAAATAAAAACTAATTATTAAATATACAATTTAACATTCCGTCGAATGTGTTTGAATCTTGTTTTTCTCTCAAAAGCTCTAAAAATAGTTCTTTAAATGCTGAGAGTTGAGGCGACATGCATTGAAGCAGCTTTGATGGCTTTAATATCCCATTTACGAGCCTGTCCTGACATATTAAACAGAGCGAATTTGGCGCATGCGAGTCAACTAGCTATAAACCTTTACCTTAAGTAGGACTACCAATTTTGTCTCTTAAATACATCTTAAATATCTACACATTTTTTTAAATGGGAAGTTTCCTCTGTGTCATGTTTTGTCCTGTTTTCTTATTCAAAGAAGCTCTCAAAATGTTGCTAAATTGTGGGCTTACTTTTTTCATGTCATATGACTGAGATGAGCTTTTTGACAAAGGCACAAGCAGATGCGCCTGGTTTTCTTCTTCTTCAATGCAACCATCGCAGTTTGGTTGACTTGTGCCATATATAAACTCAATATCCATCCATCCATTCTTGAATCTGTTTCGCCTCACAAGGGTCACGGGTGTGCTGGAGCCTATCCCAGCTGTCTTTGGACAGTAGGTACACCCTGAACTGGTTGCCAGCCAATCGCAGGGCACACATAGACAAACAACCATTTGCGCTCACACTCACACCTAGGGACAATTTAGAGTGTTGCGTTAACCTGCCATGCATGCTTTTCGAATGTGGGAGGGAAACCGGAGTACCTGGGGAAAAACCTACGCGGGCACGGGCAGAACATGCAAACTCGACACAGGAAGGTCGGAGCCAGAATCAAAACCTGCACCTCTGCACTGTGAGGCCGAGGTGCTAACCAGTCGATCACCGTGCCGCCCTAAACTCAATATGGAAATCTTTTTCTGAAATCTGTGCATCTACAGTCGGTCATCCATAACAATGAGCAGTCTTTGGTGCTGTGTAAAACGATGAGGCCGTGCCAATGGTACAAATGGAGATTAAAATGAAGGCAAACATAAGCCGAAATGAAAGCCACTTTGCAGGAAGGAGGCAGTTGCTATTGTAACCACAAGTCCAGAGACTGATGTCAAATCATGAACAATCATTGGTGCTACTATAATGATTGACACGGTGACTGTCCAATGACTGCATGAACAGTGACTACGAAGCCACATACGAAGTAGGTTGGTAGGGTCCATGACCAGTCCAGTTGCAGGGCACATATTGAGATGATTTGGATCCAATCAGAACCAGGAAATCTTTTAGGTTCCAAAAAGTGGACATTTCTGGGAAAGACCAAGTTTGGTCACCCTCAGCTATGATTTGCGCCTTGTGCGGTGTGTGAAATAAACATCTTTTAGAGTAAGATGAAAGCCTCTTTTCATCTTCATAAAACACCTAATGAAAGATCAAAACGCCGCGAGTTGGCCGGCGCTCAGGTTGATATAGACGTCGTCCACCCCCGATAAAATCACCATGTCAACGAGGGACGTTAGCAGACCTCTGGGAGAGCGTGCTTTGTAATTGAGTCGTACCGGTGGCACTTTGTCGTCCTGATTCCGAGCTGGCATTAATCATAAATCATTGCTTTAACAAACTCCGGCGTCAGGCTTCCGCCGGCACCCCCAGCTCGACACGATGTTGGATCACACAGAATATTTGATGGCTTTGTTGCGACGGGGAAACAACCTGTCACGCCGTGGGAAAAGCAAACAGAGCGTTTTGTTCGACAGACTCCGACGAGTGTACAAGCGCCTCTTGTCAGATAACATTTCCACTTTGAAAAAAACAAAAACAATAACTCAGGCAAATAAAATGTGATGAAACCAAAATAGGAGACGGCTTAATGGAATTTGAATATATAGATCAGCAGATCCGCATCCTCTTCCATTCAGCACACGCTTCTTAAATGCAGTCTCTGGCATACTGGCGTGTTGATTCCTCACAATCGCTTGACGAGCGCAGTCTTCAACTTAATTACAGTGAGCTGAATGGCGGCTCGCCGGAACAGAGCGCTCTGCTTCCAGGTGATATTTCTGCGGGGCTGGCGAAGCTGCCAAGAGCAGCTGTGATGGCGGCGTCGGCGTCCAGGCCCGACGCATGTGAAATACCGCCTGCAAAAACGGGCAGGTCACACCGACGCCCCCCGCTCCTCCTCCCCTTTCATGTCACCAATAACATTTCACGCACAACTGTTTCAGCGGATAATAGGAGCCACAAATAAAAATGGGGACGTTGTAAATACAATGCATTGTGAATGAAACACCGTAATTTAAACACCTCCACCGCAGCCTCCATAACTCCCTCCTTTCTCCATCTTCCCGCTTTGAATAGCTGCAGAGGGAGTCCTTGACAGCATGCAAGCGGTGATGAATTACCTATCCAGTTAATTTTCTCATTCCTCCACTGTTGTGCTCCTCAAACACTAGGCCAGGCATTGACTTGACTATAAATACATACAAAACGTAATAAATATATAAATATGAATCACTTGGAGGGATATAGGCTTGTCTCCAATTTACATTATATGTGTGGCAAGTGGGACCTGAAATTA